ATAATTTATACGTACACTGTAATATAATATAACATAAGATATATATATACATAGGTATATGCTTGTATATAAGAGGTAAAGAGTACAATAACTGCATGCCGACTCCCTGGAGAAAAAAAAGACATTTATTCGTTTTAATTCACGTTACCGGTATATATGTTACTGATTATAATTACATAAATATGGCATGAATGAATACACCATTCTCAGAACCTACAGAAATCATACATTAAGGGAAAGGGAATCAAAGTGATAGAAGGTTATGCAATAGCATGTTATAAAGTAACACGTGCAGTATGGGCAGACGACGCACAGCATCTTGGTAAGTGGTATATTTATTTATTTTATATTACGGGGTATGATGATCGGGTTCAGTGTTATTTGGGTGGTTTTTAAGTTTCACACACCCATCCAGGCTTTAGATTATCCCAGCTTTCAATTACCAATGCTGTAATAGGCGTGAATCCCTTGTTGTTGATGCGAACGATATGTAATATACGGTAGTGGTAAGTGTTGGGTAATAAAACATACATGAAATGATAGAATAATACAAACCAAGACAAAGTTCTTCTATGGCAATATGTGTGCAAATGCTTCCCAAGGGTGCTATACGTAAAAGAAAAGAGAAGATCCCCCAATTTTGGCTAAGTCCTCATCTGGTTTACATTGGGAGGGTGAATTCTTAACGCATATAATACCACAGGGGTCCTGGGAGCGTAGTCTCCTGCCTAGGTGTATCTACTTCCACAGGGGTCTAGGAGGCAGAGCCCCCTGGCTAGGGAATATATACCACAGTGTTAGGTTAGGTTGGATGTTGGTTTAGGATGTTTGTTTAACAACCACGGGGTCCTGTTTTGCCTCATAATTTCCCTGGTTTACTTCATGCCCTCCCCTGCTATCGGGACTGTCAAATCAAGATTGTTGATGGAGATAGTGATCATATTTCCTCAACAATTCATTTGCACAAGGAACAATGCCTAGAATTGTTAAAAGCAATGGATTTTATGTAGAAAAATATCAAAATTGATTTGAAAGTAACCCACTACCCTCTGCTACATATTGACTGTTGATGCAAATGATATAAATGAAAGTATTGGTAATGTTTACGAAGTGACCACACCCCTCAGAGGTTAAGTCCCCATTACTTCAGCCATTCATGGGAAATCCACCTGTTCACTGTATTTTTCCTTTAAGGACTCTACCCCCAGTCCCCCGCCTGTTTGCTGTATTTTTTCTATTGGGGGTTCCACTCGTGACTCCTACCCAGTTATGATATTTTGCCTGTTGCAGCTCTGCCCTCAGACCCCTATTCAATTACCGTGGACTGACTCTTTATTTCTGATGTTATTTTTTGCAAACCCATATTAATTCATGTATAAGTGTCTAGTTTTTCTCTTTGATCATTATAGTGCCATAAACTTTTTATGTAAATGTATTCCAGAATATTTGTGTGTTGCACAGGTTTTTTTACTTTCATCTTGCGAAGGTGGTGCCTTAAATGAAAAGTGTCATATTTTCAGTCATTCTGTCCATTACATGCAAATTTGATCTTGTACTACTACATGGCATTGGGAAACAAACTATACTGTTAATTGTGTTAGTGTGAGTATGTCTAATGGCATTGATATTGATGGTATAAGTCTGTAATTTCTTTTTTCACAGCCACCCTTGCAATTATTAAGTATGTTTCAAGTATTCACCATGTAATTTGCATGAATCTGTTATTTTCCATTGTCGATGATAAAAGTCAGTGTTGATAATTGTTTATATTATGACCACACCCCCTATCACTCCAACCACTCCTAGGGATCCATAAGCATCCTTGTGTGAACCAAAAAGGATTTTTTTTTTTGTATCACACAGCCATCCAACCATCCAATTATTAATCTTTGCTTCAGTAGTGCCACTGTAACATGTGCGAATCTGTTGTTTTCCATCTAATTGCCATGGATTCTCTGTGTAACATTAGTCACAACCTATTTTCTTCATTTCTGACATTATTCCTTGCCGTGCACAGATTTTTTCATGTATCAGTGAATGTAGTTTTTCTCTTTCTTTCAAGAATTTTCCACAATTTTCTTATTATCAACTTGCAAAAAGTTTCTTATTTTCTGTCATCCTGTCTATTATAAGTTAATCTTGTACCATAAGGGTCTGTGAAACTGAAATGTATACACTTATAATTCATATTGTGCTATAAAGTATTATTCACGGTAATAGTAATTAGCTAGTAAAAAATACAACCTCTGTAATGAAGTATGATATTAATTTCATAAGATCCCTTTGGTATTATTGGCATTTAGAGTTTGCATTATGAAACAGTGAAGTAGAGATTAGAGTAATGAATGCATCCTATTCCAGTGTTTGTAAACACATTTTGTGGATAACATTCTCAAGTCCCCTACCACAAAGAGTGGTAATTCGTCATACTTCTTATAACTTACAATAGTATACATTCCTAATACCAAGATGTCTGAATTGGCTCAGATATGTCCACAGAACCTTAGCTTGTAAAAATGGACCCCCTAATCCCTTGCTCATTATTGAGGGTGGGCTTAGGAGATGGAGCCTGGGTTCCAGTGTAGGGGATCACCCCTACATGGACCTCAGCGCTCGCCTCAACTAATTTTGTAGAGTCCTTTTTTCTCCCCCTTTCCTTTTCTTTCACTTCTTCATTGCCTTCTGTCCACTTCCAAAGATGTGAGAGTCGTGCTGAAAAGATGAAAGGCTGGCTTTCTGTCAGTCATGAAGGGCCTCCGAGAGTTATGAGCACAGTATTCCCTTGGCTAATTGTGTAGCCCATTCCCCTCATGGGGACCCTGCTCTACATTCAAAGTATCTGTCAGTATCCATCCTCCTCCTCCTTAAGTTCCCCCTACCCCTCTTCTCCCTGCTCACCCAAAAAGTACCCCATCCTTTCCTCCTCCCTGTGCATCACCATTCCCTCTTCCTTCCCCATTATCCTTACCACTCCCATCTAGCTGCTCATTTGACTCCCTTATGTCACAACAATGTCCTTTACCAGATCCTTCCTCTCCTGACATTCTTCCCAATAATTCACTACCTTCCCCTATTCCCTCATTTCACTCTCTGGATTTTTCTCCTACTTCTACTACTATCGTTTCATAATAGCTCTATTGCAGTTTTCTTCATACAGTGTTATCTTCCTTCCTCAGACACACTCTCCATTTGATCTGATTGCCCTATACCTTTAACCCCATCCCCTTTTACAGATCTCCACCATATTCCATTTGCTTCCCCTTATTTCCACCCTTTTCGCCAGAATAATTTACCATAGTGCTATATGACCCTTGATGTCTAGCACATTTATATCTTCAAACCATTAACCCTTCATAACCAAACAGCCTAACCTTACTACATTCAAAGACATACCAAAATCTTAAGAAAATAAAAAATAGTTTACATCATAAGCCAAAATAAAAGAGAGAGAAGAGAAGATGAAAAGAGATAGAAATAGAAAAGAAGTAGATAAGAAAAAGAAGATATTCAGGTTTATAGACTAAACATAGGCTAAGAATTTATAGTGGTACGAGCTACAATATACACAAGATTAGTTAAGAGTTTAGAGTATGACTGCTAAAATATATAAAGTATAGGTAATAGACCTAACGAATATATAAAATAAATATGATAACTTCAAAAGTAACAGTAACGCAACAGTCACTTCTCAGAGTCCACAAATCAGTGGTTGGCAGGTAAATACCAGTAATGCTGCAACATCTGCACTTTGCAGATAGGCAAAGACAGACACACATCCACATTGTATTTTCTGACAAGGTGGAGCTTGTTGACCAGGCAATTCATTGTTTAAGGAACAAGTTAAAGCTCTGTCTTTCCAAATATACATAGGAAAGATTTAATGGATGGAAGGATAAAGGCCAAAAGATTGCTCCATGTGGCAGTGTTTTGAACAATTACCAGAGATCAGTTACAGTAAAAAAAAGTAGTTGATAAAGATTCAAGTTTTATTTCACACCAATTTCAATGAAAAAATCAGACAATATTCATTCCTTTTATATCTTGAAGGGTTAGTTTGTTATTTCTTTTCTTGTTTGGGGGTTTGAAATTCATTTTGTGCAAACTAATGAGTTTAACTTATATTTCAAGATTTATTTGGAGGTTAAAACAGCATTTATACCATATTAATTTCATACATTCATTTATTTTATAGGAGAACAAAAAGGAGTTAAAAATGAAAGGGTCTCAGATTTTTTTTTTTTTTTTTTTTGGGGGGGGGGGGAGGGGGCTTGAATAGATGTACATAGTGGCCTTAAATCTTGATATAATTGTTAAGACAATAACTCATTTACCAAGAAAGCAATTAATGGACATAAAAGTATATGGTAAATGTTTAGAAGACACCAGGGACTTTTTCCCATATTTATATATGGATATATTCAAATCCCATTGAAATATTTTGCAATCTGCAGTGCATGGCCTAAAACCTGATAGTCGCTCGCTGTTGAAACCCAAAGTACTTGCTCCAGCAAAGGCCAGCAAACCTCCACCATGTATATTCTGGAGAGATAGTAGGTGATGGTGTGTATTTAGAGAGGCCTCTACAGGAGAATCAGCAGATCTCTAATAGGTACTGCAACTGCATCTGGTGGACTTTTAGATGTCTTCTAAACATCTACCAAGCTTTATAATTTGCCACCCAGAACTACTGTAACCAAAAGGTTATTACAGTATCAGTTATGTGCTAGTTATTAAATGTTTATTTGTATTTCCCCTCAAAACAAAAATAAAAATGAAGAAACATAGATATAGCTTTGATTTTAACATGGGTTTCCAACATATGATGATTTAGTGTATCTTATTTCCTTAAAAAGTGAAAGACAATCATATTGTTTCAGATTTATTAGTGAATGAGTACATGGAAGGCCTCTGGTTGCTGGTTGTATTCTAATGTATGAATGAATTATATTTCAGATCATGGTTAATGAGAATGATTTACAGTCACAACCTGCCACAATGGA